CCCCCTCCTGGGCTTACAGAATCAAAATACAGCGCACAAAAGATATGCGCGCGCAATATACAATCATGATCCCGAAGAAGAGACGAGTCCAGGGGCTAGGGTCGTATGGGAGGACTTTCTTCAAGGAGGCAAACGTCGAGAACAGGCATCGGAGGTCGTCTCGAAGGAGCTTTTGTCCAAGAGGCAACTGTCCTAAAAAACATTTATATTTTATTGATCTTTATTACATTTTATGGCTCTTGTGTGTATATATTTTGTTGTTGCTAAATCGACAAATGTCATGCCATAAGCATCAAATGTCGTAATGATAAAAAACATATCCTGTGCAAGTTTAAATAAATTATTTTACTTATATCTCCACATTTTCCCACAGAGAGAGAGAGAGAGAGAGAGAGAGAGAGAGAGAGAGAGAGAGAGAAGAGAGAGAGAGAGAGAGTGAGAGAGAGAGAGAGAGAGAGAGAGAGACGAGAGAGAGAGGAGAGAGAGAGAGAGAGAGAGAGAGAGAGAGAGAGAGAGAGAGAGAGAGAGAAGAGAGAAGAGAGAGAGAGAGAGAGAGAGAGAGAGAGAGAGAGAGAGAGAGAGAGAGAGAGAGAGAGAGAGAGAGAGAGAGAGAGAGAGAGAGAGAGAGAGAGAAGAGAGAGAGAGAGACAGAGAGAGAGATGAAGAGAGAGAGAGAGAGAGAGAGAGAGAGAGAGAGTGAGTGAGTGAGTGAGTGAGTGAGTGAGTGAGTGAGTGAGTGAGTGAGTGAGTGAGTGAGTGAGTGACACTAACAGATAAACAGAGTAAAAGAGCAGGGACACGGGAGGGCGCGTGAGCGAGCGGGGAAATCGTATAGAATTTCCCGGGGCTTCTACTCTATCAGCAGCTGACAAATTCTAGATATGAAATTCAGATTGTCAAATGTCACAAACAGCAAACACTGTCTTATATAATAAATGTGCCAAAGCTTAAGATGTGGAATTTTCTACAGTGTGAGGCAGTATAACTCACACAAGATAATGTGCAAAAATGTAACACAAAATGTAAGCAATATATAAATACAAGATGCAATATGTAGAAAAAATATACGTCTTTCATCTTTCAAATTTTGCGTCACTGCCATGATTGGTGAAGCATTAGTATAATCATTATCGCCATTGCCATTATCACCATCTATCATTTTTATCATTGTTTACTATTCATTATTATTTTCATTACTGCCATCACTATCATTATTAGTACTGTTATTTTATTACCATTATTATTACTTTCACCATTGCCGTTACCATTAACATTTTATTAATAATACTAGAATCATCATTATTTTTGTTATTATTATCATTATCATTACTATTATCACACTCCTACTACTACAACTACTATTATCATTATCATCATTATCAGTATCATTATGATCATCATTGTTTTCTTATTACAATAATTTTTACCGATGATTTTGCTTTCATTTCACAGAGTTCATCTGAGAATGATTGGAGAGCCAAGGATTCCCATTTCTTGCTAACTGTTCATGGGATAAG